TAATAATTTGAACAAATTTCCATTTGTTTTTCACTATTGTTAAAATTGACTCCATTGTTTTTTGATATACACCCAACATAGGCCACTAGCTAGCTCTAATACTGTACAACACTGAATTCTTCCTGAATTTTATTATAATGTTAAATATATGTAACCATAAAACTAGGTATAGCTTCCTTAAGCTTACAGTGCTCATGTAATTATAAGACAAAAACAAATTTAGAAATTAAACACCAACAAACTGTAAAACCAAGAAAAAGGAAATAAGTGATTTTTAAAATTTTATTTGTTTTGACACAGGGTCTTTGCTCTGTCACCCATGCTGGAGTACAGTGGTGCAGTCATGGCTCACTGCAACCTTGACCTCAACTTAGGCAATCCTCCCACCTCAGTCTCCTGAAGAATTGGAGTATGCCACCATGCTCAGCTAATTTTTTATTTTTTGAGATGGAGTCTTACTATTATCACCCAGGCTGGAGTGCAGAGGCACAATCTCAGCTCACTGCAACCTCCACTTCCCAGATTTAAGCGATTCTCGTGCCTCAGCCTCCCAAGTAGCTCTATATATATCATTAAATGATACACATATAGCTATATATGTATCATATATACTAGGTATAGCTTCCTTAAGCTTACAGTGCTCATGTAATTATAAGACAAAAACAAATTTAGAAATTAAATACCAACAAACTGTAAAACCAAGAGGGAAAATAAGTGATTTTTTAAATTATGCATATATATTGCTATATATGTATCATTTAATGATAAATTTAGACCACGTGTTTTCAAGTGGATAAATTATCGTTAATATGAATTTATTTTTGTCATAGTGCTACAGTACTATTTCTGTTACAAAGTCAAAGAAGGAAAAATTTGGCACGTTGCCTTGGTGCCTATTTTAGTTGAGCTGTAACAGTTTGGAAATAATGACAAAAATATAAATGCCCAAAATAAAACCATTAGAATTTCTTATTTTTTATTATTATTTCCAGGCAGCTCTGAAGGAATAAAACCATTAGAATTTCTATGCTTTTATGTTGTTCTGAGTTGCTGATTTGTAATAAACTGCTCAATTGCATATTTGTGTTAAAAATATATATATTTTTGAGACAGAGTCTTGCTCTGTCACCCAGACTGGAGTGCAGTGACCTCATCTCGGCTCACTGCAACCTCCTCCTACCTGGTTCAAATGATTCTCCTGCCTCAGCCTTCCAAGTAGCTGGGACTACAGGCATGTGTTACCATACCTGGCTAATTTTTTTTTTTGTATTTTTAGTAGAGATGGGGTTTCACCGTGTTAGCCAGGATAGTCTCGATCTCCTGACCTTGTGATCTGCCCGCCTCAGCCTCCCAAAGTGCTGGGATTACAGGCGTGAGCCACCGCACCTGACAAAAATAACTTTTTAGGAAATACTTCCAGTTCATGTTGGAATATAATTTGTATTTTGAATTTTCAGTAAACTAAGAAATACATTTGTAAACTGTGAAAATATATTCTGCTTCAACAATGAAAATTGTAATTTGATATTTAATTGCCAGTTTGAAAAATAAAATCATGCATTTATAAATATTCCACAAATTTTTACTAATAAAGATTGTTGATGCCCTTCTTGCCAGTAAGAAGGAAGATATTTTGAATACATATAATGCAGAGCTGTGTTGTTTATGAATGCCAATTCATGAAGTCTTAACAATTGGTTCTTTATTTTTGTTTTCAATTTGTGTCCGAGTTTGGTTTTGCTATTTTGGACTGTTTCAATTCCCTACTACTGCCACCATACAGAATCAGATCATGTACAATTTGTTTACTTCAGCAGCAACATAGCTTGATTACCAGGATACAGAACATTATGGATTTCCAACCAGTTTTTAAGGTGTAGATGGTTTTCAAATGATTGTTTTTAAAGGTTTTGGTTTTTAGGTTCTAGTTATACATGGCATAGGAAGTGTGCAAGAACATTGGGCAGAGGGTAAGGAGAACTTTGGCACAGAACAGAAAGGAATATTTAATATTTGGGCCTAACTGATTTTGTTATGATGAAAAACATTTACGAGGTCATGTAACTTTTGGAACGATTTCTGAATTGAGACTGGTATGAAAATGGAATATCAAATGAAGCCTCCCATAGCCAAAATAATATGTGTTTTGGTTTTGATCTCTAGATATTTGTGAAAACGTTCATGCTAAAACAAAATAAACCATTTACCTGCAGAACCTCCGACTTGTTTGATGTTGAAGTCATGCAGTAATTGAAACGATTTTTTATTTTGTTGAACACTGCGAAAGACGGAAAAAGTCGGTGATATCCCCTCTAACATACACGACTCTAAAAAAACACAGATAAAACGTTCCTTACATTTGTCAAGATGGAAGCTTACTACTGTGCTTTGCTCTCCTTCGGGTGTTTTTACTGAACATATTCTACAGTTATACTTAAGTATTTCAGACAAGAGTAAGCAAAAATCACCGCTTGGGCTGTTTTTTCGAGGGTATTTTGGCTGGACCATCACCCACGTTAGGAATGGCAAGTATAACACCAGCCGTACATTTTACATTTTCAGCAACCACATCACTAGCCTTTAAAGTACAGCGACGCTGCTGTCCTCATTTTACAAGGGCAGAAACCGAGGTCCTGCGGGGGTGACCGCCCCGGACGCAGCTAGTGAGGGTCTGCGCGGAGGTCCAGACGCCCGGCGTCAGGTACGCGCACCAGGAATGACGTCACAGGCGGTGCCAGGCGGGGATCCGGGAGCTCGGGACGCGTGCCTGGCCGGAAACGACGTCCCGAGTGGCCCCGCCCCGCCTCACGCGAGCCGGTAGTTGCGCCTCCTAGACTGTGGTTGGCTGGCTCTCCGGGTCCGGGGCCAGGTGGGCGAGGCGAGGCGCGGAAGGGCCCCGCCCCTCAGGCCGGCCCCACCTCTCACGGCGGGCTAGTCTCTCTCGCTGAGACTTGGCTGGGTGCGGCGTTAGGTAGGCGCTGCGGGTGAGTCTCACTTCCCGACAGCGGGGCTTGGCCAGCGACTGGGCGGAGAGGCAGAGGATGGAAGTGGGCTTATCGGCCATTACCCTCTGTTTCGCCAGCGCCAGGAGTCCTGTGGTGGCGACGACGATGGAGCAGGAGCCAGTGGGCCGTTTGGAGCGAGGAGAAGCTGTCGCAGCCTCGGGAGCTGCAGCCGCCGCGGCGTTTGGGGAATCTACCGGGCAGGTAGGTGGGGCCGCCGAGGCTGACGTCCTGGCTGCTCTTTTGGCCTGCCCAGCCTTCTTCCGAGCAGGCCGCCCTGGTTTTAGAGTTCCTCCTCACTGCACCCCTATTTCTGCGCAATGAAACCGGCTTGTGGGAAGCAGAGGCCCCCCTCATTCACCAACCCCTTCGCTTGGCAGCACTCCAGACTCTGGGGCTGCCTCGGATTCTGGGGATGATAGTACAGCTTCTGGTCAGCCAGCTGGAAAAGGAGGGCGTATCCCCCAAAGACTCTTCTTGCAGTAGCTGGAAGCCAGGTGAGGGCGGTTTCAGCCACTTCTGTCTCTTCTAGTGCTAGCGGCGCGCTTGCCTTGGCATCTGATCTTGCTTGGCTAATAGCAACCATATGCTAATAGTTTACCGGCTTTGATAATAGTTTACCGGAATCCTTACAGTCTCCGCTCGAGGTGGGTGTTACTCCATTTCACCCTCGAGGCAACTAAGGCCCCCAGCTGCGCTGTCCAACAGAAATAGAATGCAAGCTTCATTGAAAATTGTAATTTCAATTTTCCTGTAGCCACGTTTTTTAAAAACGTGAAAAGCCAATTTTATTAATTTTAATAGCATATCTTATTTAACCCAATTTATATGAAAAAATTTCAACCCATAATTAGTATGAAAGTTATTATTATTATTTTTTTTTGAGACGGAGTTTCTCTGTTGTTACCCAGACTGGAGTGCAATGGCACGATCTAGGCTCACTGCACCCTCCGCCTCCTGGGTTCAGGCAATTCTGCCTCAGCCTCCCGAGTAGCTGGGATTACAGGCATGCGCCACCATGCCCAGCTAATTTTTTGTATTTTTAGTAGAGACGGGGTTTCACCATGTTGACCAGGATGGTCTCGATCTCTTGACCTTGTGATCCACCCGCCTCGGCCTCCCAACGTGCTGGGATTACAGGCGTGAGCCACCGCGCCCGGCCTGAAAGTTATTAATGAGGTATTTTCATTCTCTTTTTTGAGTCTTACTCTTTGAAATGCTGGGTGTATTTTACACGTACAACAAACATATCGCAGTTCTGACTGACCACATTTCAAGTGCTCATTAGCCACTTGTGTCTAGTGATTACTGTATTGGACAGGGCTGGTTTAAAGAGTTAAAGTTCTTGCAACTTTTCAGTATTTAAAAAAAGAAAATAATTGCAACTTTCTAGTGTAAAAAAAGAGAAGATATGGCCAGGCGTGGTGGCTCAGGCCTGTAATCCTAGCACTTTGGGAGGCCAAGGTGGGCAGATCACCTGAGGTCAGGAGTTTGAGACCAGCCTGGTCAACATGGTGAAACTCCATGTCTAATAAAAATGCAAAAGTTAGCTGGGCATGGTGGTATGCGCCTGTAATTCCAGCTACTGGGGAGGCTGAGGTATGAATCGCTTGAACTGGGGAGGTGGAGGTTACAGTGAGCCAAGATCAGGACATTGCACTCCAGCATGGGCAACAGAGTGAGACTTGGTCTCAAAAGAAGAAAAAAGTTTGGAGATTTGTTTTGGATTTGGTTGTCTAAATTAGCAGTTTAGGATCTTCGACTATGTAAAACCAATGAACAAATTGTTTTACATGAATCCTGCTCAGAAGTATACAGTTTTGGCTGTTAAAAATGATGAGTTGCTCATGTATAGAACTCTTCCCATCCTCCATGACAGTGAAGCTTTTTCATTGAAAAAAAAAAAAGCTTTTTCAATGAAGATTTTTCGTTTTTGAGACTAAGTACCTGAATGTTAGTAAGACATTTCCCCCAATCTGTGAGTACATCCCTTTTTTTTTTTCAAAGGCAAACAGTCTTCATTATGAGAAAGCAGTGTTATCTAGGAAAGTCACATGCTGGTTTCTTTCTAATAAAATGACAAAGCAGATTTCTTAAATAATTTACAAAGGGCAGAAATTGCTCTTGAACAGGCTACCCCTCCCGGCATACCCACAGCGCTCTGCATCGAGCATATAAATAGGTACCTGTGAGCCCAGGGTCTTAAGCCTGGAAATATCTCCTATGCCTTCCTCTGAGTCCCTGGTAGGGAAAGCAGGGATGAGAGTGGGGCCCTCGGGAGCCTTGGCACCAGAAACACAGACAGTGAGTGACTCTGCGGATGACACCCCCAAAATCAGACACCTGGGTACATGGCTAAGAGCTCTCAAACATCGGATGCTAGCACTTCACGTTACACACGAGGCAAATATAAAGCTCAAAGTCAGGTGTATAGAGTTTCTAAGCTCGAGAGTCCCTTGGGAAAGCAAAAGGTACAATTCTCCCCACCTCTGCCAGACACTTTCCCCAAGACACTCTCGGGCTATGGCTGGCAGTCACCGATGGGTCCAGATGTGGCCGGAGCAGTGAGGCTCCAGGCCCCTTCTTAGTCAGGTCCTCATTAGCAGGGGCTCAGGGGTACTGATGACTCCTGAGGGCTTCCTGGAAGAAGTGCATGGGGAAGCACAGACATTCTTGGGTGTGAAGCCTTGGCGGTCAGACAGGGCTTGTTTCCTGCAGGCACTTCATCAGCCATGAATGAGAGAGACGATGTCACCACTCTCTTCTGCCATGATGGCTTCATCTAGCTCTTGGGACAGCTTCTGTAGGTGCTGAATTCCCACCCCCACAGGCTCTAGGTCGCTGTCAGACTCACTGGGAGAGCAGAGGGGCTCTGTAGAGGAGTACGGGCTCCGGAAGGCTGCCTCCCGCCTCGACCACGGTAACGGGCGGGCACATGAGCCCATCTGGGTAGAGAGGCAGTGATGCGCCTTCTCCCAGGGGCCTGCGGGTGAGTAGGCAGGGGCGGCTCCAGACAGCCGGGTGCTCTTCTGGCTCAAGCTGTGAGTTGGGGATCCACTGCCCTTCTGTGCTCCTCTCTTCCTCCTCCTGGCCTTCACCTGGGTCTCCACCAGCCACTTGGTGCCACCTTGGCAGGACTCCTGGATTCTCTGGGACATGGCACCCAAGGCACTCTTAGCTGAGCGAGCTGCTGCCTGGAGGCCCTGTTGCCCTGGCTCTGGGGTTTCCAGACGTTTCCAGGAGGGGCCTGGGCAGAGGTTGAGGTTGACGGCTTTCAGGGGCAGCCTCCTTTGGAACTGTCTGCACAGGGACCCCAGGGCCCCGGAGGAGGTCTCCTGATGGCTGGCCACAGGCTGCAGCTCCTTGCTGTCCTCCAGCTGCTCTTGGTGCCGGAGAGATCTCCGGCGCACGGAGGTCCCCATGCTCTGCCACTGAGAAGCCATCTGCCTGGCCAAGTCTTTTCTGCCCACTACACCCAGACACCAACGCTGATCACACCCGAGCACCGAGTACCTCTCTTACAGTATGATGGAGTTTGCATTGGCCAGGCGTCCTGGCTCACGCCTGTAATCCCAAAACTTTGGGAAGCTGAGGTGGGTGGGTCACCTGAGGCTGGCAGTTGGAGACCAGCCTGACCAACAAGGAGAAACCCTGTCTCTACTAAAAGTACAAAATTAGCCGGGCCTGGTGGCGCACACCGGTAATCCCAGCTGCTCGGAAAGCTGAGGCAGGAGAATCGTTTGAACCCGGGAGGCGGAGGTTGCAGTGAGCCGAGATCGAGCCATTGCTCTCCAGCCTGAGCAACAAGAGCAAAACTCCATCCCAAAAGAAAAAAAAAAAAACAACAACAAAACACAAACTTACCCAGCCTGGGCAACTGAAAAAACAAAAACAAAGAACACAATTTTCCCACATACCAGTCTCCATATGGAATTTCTTTTTTCCCTCCTACATAAGAAGGAATTCAGGGGACAACATTAATTGATTTGGAAGCCACTTTAATTTCAGTTGAGTTGAGACCTGTTGTTGGCAAGTGCACTTATACTTAACCTTTGTTAAGTCCACAGTGCTGGATATGTTTCTTTTTTTTTTTTTTTTTTTTGAGACAGAGTCTTGCTCTGTCACCAGGCTGGAGTGCAGTGGCTCAATCTCGGCTCACTGCAACCTCTGCCACCTGGGTTCAAGCGATTCTTCCGCCTCAGCCTCCTGAGTATCTGGGACCACAGGCACGTGCCACCATGCCCGGCTAATTTTTTTGTATTTTTAGTAGAGACGGGGTTTCACTGTGTTGGCCAGGATGGTCTCGATCTCTTGACTTCATGATCCACCTGCCTCGGCCTCCCAAAGTGCTGGGATTACAGGCGTGAGCCACCGTGCCTGGCCTGGATGTGTTTTCAATTTGATTTTTCCTGTTGCTACTAGAATTGTTTTTTAAAAATCACTACTTCGCTTTGGATCTAATAGAAAAGTAAACACACCTGTACTGATATACCAGCTAAATGTTGTTTGACCTGAGAGGCTCTTTGATTTGGGTTAGTGACTTGTTGTTTTCATATTCTTGTTTAACAACTACTTGAAGTGTAATGAAGGCTATAGAACAAAAGATAAAAATCAGAGGAATACCAACCCCCCCCCACCCCCCACTGTTTCCTCATGTTCTCATTCCCCAAAAGTAACTATTAAGTTTTGGTGTAGTCTCTCTGGGATTCTCTATGCAAATACTATCTCTTCTTTCTTGTTAAACACAAATGAGTTCTGCTTTTCCATTTGCCCTTTTTGGTTTTGGATTCACATTCCTGAAGCAGAAACATCTTTGGGAACTCCAGATCTATGCCCAGGGGGTTGAGCACAGTAAGAAGGAAGAGGCCAGTGAAGTGGGTATCTGGTGGGAGGAGGAGGCCCCCATCATACACTCCTTCCCAAGTTTGGCAGAACTGAGAAATCCTTAGTGCAATGTAGGGAAACGGAGTAAGAGATAGGAGATAGGGTCTAGACTTAGGCCTGCAGACAGGCCATCCAGTACCTGTTATGTCTTTTATCCAGCAGCTTCTCTGAATAGACTTAACCAGAATCTCAACCTCAGTGTTATTAAAGGAGTTAAACTTTCAATACCACTTTGTGATTGATTTATTTGGCACCTCTGGGACCAAGTACTTACTGTGTATCAGGAACTCTAGGCTGAAGGATATAGCGTGCCTACCCCCCATGTTGCTAATAATCTAATTGGGGAAGATGACACACAATAAATTCCAAGTGTAGTATGTAACTTTTTTTTTTTTTGAGACAAAGTCTTGCTCTGTCGCCAAGCACCAGGCTGGAGTGCAGTGGTGGGATCTCAGCTCACTGCAACCTCCGCCTCCCGGGTTCAAGCAATTCTCCTGCCTTAGCCTCCTGAGTAGCTGGGACTACAAGTGCGTGCCACCATGCCCAGCTAATTTTTGTATTTTTTTAGTAGAGACAGGGTTTCACCATATTGGCCAGGATGGTCTCGATCTCTTGACCTCGTGATCTGCCCGCCTCGGCCTCCCAAAGTGCTGGCATTACAGGGGTGAGCCACCGCGCCTGGTCACCCAAGTGTAGCATGTATTTTAAAGAAATCTGGGTGCTCCATCCTGATCAACTTGGTGAAACCCCATCTCTACTAAAAAAACACGAAAATTAGCTAGGTGTAGCGGTGCGCACCTGTAGTCCCAGCTACTTGGGAGGCTGATGCAGGAGAATTGCTTGAACCAGGGAGGTGGAGGTTGCAGTGAGCCGAGATCGTGCCACTGCACTCCATCCTGGGTGACAGAGTGAGACTCTGTCTCAAAAAAAAAAAAAAAAAACAAAAACAAAACTGGGTGCCATGGGAGTTTATTTTTTTTAAAATGCCATTAAAACCAGATCTGCTGTGCAGTGGCTCACGCCTGTAATCCCAGCACTTTGGGAGGCAGAGGCAGGTGGGTCACTAGGTCAGGATTCAAGATCAGACTGGCCAACATGGTGAAACCCCATCTCTACTAAAAATACAGAAATTAGCTGGGTGTGGTGGCTCACGCCTGTAGTCCCAGCTATTTGGGAGGCTGAGGCAGGAGAATCGCTTGAACCCAGGAGGTGGAGCCAAGATTGCACCACTGCACTCCAGCCTGGGTGACAGAGCAAGATGTTATCTCAGAAGAAAAAAAGAAAAGAAAAAACAGATTCTGATAATAAAGATAAGCACATTTATAGTTTGGTTAACAATAAAATGGAGTTAAAACGTTAATTGACATGGTACCTCATAATTTTCTTGTGTTATAAAATGTTTTCAGAGCTTTGGAGTTCATTAATGGAATTTGCATAATTGGCAGTGAAAATTTTCTTACTTGAAGATTTATAAAATGAAGCATTTGGAAAATGCACAGTATGTTTTTTTTTTTTTGAGACAGTCTCATCTCACTTTGTTGCCCGGGCTGGAATGCATGGGGTAATCTCGGCTACCGTAACCTCTGCCTCCCAGATTTAAGCGATTCTCCTGCCTCAGCCTCCCAAGTAGCTGGGATTACAGGCATGTGCCACCACGGCCAGCTAATTTTGTGTTTTTAGTAGAGACAGGGTTTTTCCACGTTGGTCAGGCTGGTCTCGAATTCCCAACCTCCAGTGATCCACCCGCCTCACTTCCCAAAGTGCTGGGATTACAGATGTGAGGCACCATGCCTGGCTAAGAGATGGGGTTTTACCATGTTGGCCAGGCTGGTCTTTTATTCCTGACCTCAAGTGGTCTCCCAAAGTGCTGAGATTAGAGGCGTGAGCCACCGTGCCCCACCACAGTGTAACTTTTATTTGTAATTATTGGATTTCTGGTTTGAGTTGTTGTTTTAAAATTTAAAAAAACAAAAAAGAAAACTTTAAAAAAAGAAAAATGTTTTAGAACTATAATTATTGGGAATTTTATACCACATTATTTTCTGGTTGGTTTTACCTGTCAGTGCTTCCTTCATTGCCCTCCCCCCCACCCCACCCCTATCTCCCAGGTAGAGGTTAGAATCATTATCCCTAATCTGAAATACTCTAAAATCTGAACCTTTTTGAGTGCTGACGTCCCTTCCTTTGCCTGTGTCATAGAAGGAAAAAATTAAGCCAATGAGATTGCTAGAGGGAGCAGTGAGAAGCCTCTTCTGTCCTGATAGAGGTGGAGTAGGGTGGGGCATGGTGGTATACTGTGAAGGATTTGAGATCTCCATTCACTGGAGCTATTGCACTGGCATTAGATCCATCTAATTAGTAGAATGATTGGAGATCTAACAGCTCATCTATCTTTCCTTTGCATAGGAAATTAATGGATCCAAAAAGCTGAGTCATAGTCCAAAAGGAAATGTTGGTGTCAGGACAACCATAGCCAAATTTTATCTCAAGGGGAAACTTGAGATTGGGTAGGGATGGCTATCTGTGCCTGGGGACTGGTCGAGGGTGGGAACGGGAAGAAGAAAGCTAGCCTGGGTGAACTACTTGTTTATTTTGTTCATGGACACAATAAATGGCCTCATCTTTCCTTGTTAGGGGCTGGGGTTTGTTTGAACCCTCAGCACAGGCTAGAGAGAATTGTGAATTTTTTTAAAGCTAATAACATAGATAGCCTATGTTATCAAATTTTATTTTTAAAGATAGTTTGGCCGGGCGCGGTGGCTCAAGCCTGTAATCCCAGCACTTTGGGAGGCCGAGGCGGGTGGATCACGAGGTCAACAGATCGAGACCATCCTGGTCAACATGGTGAAACCCTGTCTCTACCAAAAATACAAAAAATTAGCTGGGCATGGTGGTGCGTGCCTGTAATCCCAGCTACTCAGGAAGCTGAGGCAGGAGAATTGCCTGAACCCAGGAGGTGGAGGTTGTGGTGAGCCGAGATCGCGCCATTGCACTCCAGCCTGGGTAACAAGAGCGAAACTCCGTCTCAAAATAAATAAATAAATAAAATAAAGATAGTTTATTATTTCTATATTTATTTATTTATTTAGAGATGGGGTTTCACCATGTTGGCCAGGCTGGTCTCGAACTGCTGACCTTCTAATCCGCCCACCTCAGCCTCTCAGAGTGCTGGGATTACAGACGTGAGCCACTGCGCCCGGCCTTATTTTTATTTGTTTTTTTAGATGGAGTCTCGCTCTGTCACCCAAGCTGGAGTGCAGTGGCGCAATCTCAGCTCACTGCCACCTCTGCCTCCCAGGTTCAAGTGATTCTCCTGCCTCAGCTTCCCAAGTAGATGGGACTACAGCCACATGTCACCACACCCAGCTAATTTTTGTATTTTTAGTGGAGATGGGGTTTTGCCATGTTGGCTGGGCTGGTCTTCAACTCCTGACCTCAGCTTATCCACCTGCCTTGGCCCCCTCAAAATGCTGGGATTATAGGTGTGAGCCACTTCTCCTGGCCTTATTTTTGTTTTTTTGAGACAGTCTTGCTCTTTTGCCTAGGCTGGAGTGCAGTGGTGCAATCTTGGCTCACTGCAGCCTCCACCTCCTGGGTTCAAGTGATTCTCATGCCTCA